GAGTGAGTGGCCATGTGGTGCCCAGCTCCTCTCTGGGGCTAAACCATCACACATGTTAATACCACCTGGTGACGACCACGTTGATTTCACCCAAAGTCTACCCTACCTTTAAAACAGCTCAAAGGAGTACCAGAGCATTGCTGATGCAAGAAGAGCTTGGAGAAGCTGCTTCAGAACAGTCTTCTGCCACACAAAGTGCAAAAAACTTCTGCCTCAGTTAAATTATCCTGAACATCAAGCTGAATCTTCCCAAAGCTAGGAGCACTGTGAAGCAGACAGAAAGGTGGAAACTCCACTGTCTAGAGGGAAAGCCAGAGCCAGCTCACCTAAACTAGAACTCTCCTGCAAGACCTGGGGATGTCAACTGGTTATTTAGGTTCTCAACTATCAGTAGGTGAGATACAGCCAATGGAGGGAGTAAATCCAATCATTGTGCTCAGCTACCTAAGGGGTAGACTACAGGGAAAAGCAAGTCAGTTCTTCCTTCAAGGTGTGCAGTGGCAGGATGAAAGACCACATACACAAACAGCTGCAAAGAAAATTCCAGTTAGAAGGAAGAAAACCCTTCATAATGAGAGAGCTCAAACACCAGCACTCAAACACCAGCACACAGGCCCAGAGAGGTCAGAGAATCTCCATCTTCAGAACATGAGGCACTGAGGGGTGCAATCGCATTTCCAAGTCTTCTCCTTGCTCTGGGCAAACAGCTGGACTAGATGGCCCCTGAGGTTCCCTCCCAGTCTGCATTTTTCTGTCACTCTCCTTCCAATTTTGTTCTATCAGCACTTTCCCTGACCTCAAGAGTGAGGACTCCCATGATAATCCATACAGATACCTCCTGTCCCATAAGGTGACACTATCTACAGAGGCAACTGGGCAGGAGGAGAGGGCTCCTTTCAAGCCACGTATATCGCAGGACATTCTTGAAACTCTGTAGAAGGTGACAGCTAACAAGGTTGAAGGTAAGCTTTCAGGGACATGGAGGACATCTATGCCCTCCTAACGTTAGCCTCACTGCTAAGGCACTGCAGCATTTATGATCCTGCAGCCAGAGAGAACAGTCTAAGTAACTCTGCTGCTGAAGATTAACTCCCTAACATCAGGAAAGCAGCCCCTGCTCCCAGTGCAAGTGAAAAAAAACCCACAAAAGACACAAACAAGAACCAGGCCAGCAAGACAGACATAGCAGAGACAAAGTTGTGGGGGTACCTGGCACAGACAGCACAGGGAGTGGAAGGAACACTTTACCTTGTCAAAGATCTCGCGCACATTAGCTTCAGATTCACCAAACCACATGGTGAGCAATTCCGGACCCTTGATGGAAATGAAGTTTGCCTGGCACTCGTTGGCAATGGCTTTAGCCAGCAGTGTCTTACCACAGCCAGGTGGCCCGTAGAACAGAACACCTTTCGATGGTGTCATACCAAATTTGAGGAACTTGTCTGGGTGCTCCACAGGATACTGAAGGAGAACAGAACAAACAAAAATCGCTTGTGATGAACCAGAACAGGCCTGGAACTTAGGCTCACGGAATGGTTTGGGTGTGGAGGGACCTTCAAAAAAGTCATCCAGTCCAAGCCCTCTGCCATGGGCAGGGACACCTTCCACTAGGTCGTTTTTGCTTCTCCTACCAGGAACACTGAGATTTCTGGTGGGTTAAACAGAAGATCCTGCCTGCTTGATGGCACTGGAGTTTTTAAAATGGACACTGGTTTGAAAAGCACCACAGCTAAACTGGAAAGCTGCCTTAAACAACCCATTTACCTCTAAGAACCAAGTCTCAGCTCAGGAAGGTTTCCAGCACACTTAACCCCAACTACACTCTGCCCTGCAAAGCAGAAGCAAAAGGGAACAGCTCATTAGCTAACCTACTCGCTCTGCTCTCCAGAGACAGGCAAGGTGTCCGATGTGTGCTCTTATCCTCAGCAAGGAGGTCAAAGATAGGTAATGATTTTAACGTCAGAAAATTAGATTGGAAATTGGATTCTTTTATTCACAGACAGGATGTTTCTACAGCACCAACTGAACGCCGGAACACAACAAACCCAAGACATCCCAATAGAGCCACCAGGATTTTCAGGACCACTCATGACCTTTTGTCCCCATCTTTCCCATTGTAGGTGACTTTGTAACTCCTTCTCACCTGTCTCTGTGCTGATGGGAAACCCTTCAGAGGTTCTCGGTAAGAAAATCATCACCCACTTTCTGGCATAATGCCACCAGGTAAGCAGGTTCTCGGCAGCAGTTCCACTGCTGGTCCCCTCTTAGAAGCAGCAGAACTGCTGCTGCTTCTGCATGCAGCCCAACACCCACTCAAGAGGGCACTGCAGACTCAGCTAAGGAAAGCATGATGCTGCTCCTCAGCTCCTTCCTCTCCAACTTAGTGCACTAAGGTGGAACATCATAGCATTTTTAGTCCATTATAAGCAAATTCCATAAAAAACTTTCTACAATCACCCTGCTCACAGCCCAAATGAGAATGTGAAGAAATTATGGATTATTAGAATTGTTTTTCAAGCTGAATAGGCAAAAATCTGCTGGAAACCCTTACCTGCACAAGCTCCTGGAGCTCTCTCTTTACATCTTCCAAACCACCAATATCTTCCCAGGTAACCTGTGGCACCTCCACCACAGTCTCCCGAAGAGCAGAAGGGTTGCTCTGGCTCAGAGCCCACTATCGTTGGAAAAAGGGCACCATGTAAATTCTAACACATTCTGTTCACTTCAGATAAGCAATTAGACATTGCACCCAAAAGAAAGAGAGGCACTTCTGCATTACCCTGAAGTCATCCATGGTCACAGCCAGCGAGTTCATCACTTCAGCATCAATGGTTTCATCTTCTAAATCTATGAGATCCATCTTCTTTCTAATAGCCTGAAGAGCAGCTTCAGAGCAAAGAGCAGCCAAGTCAGCACCAACATGGCCATGGGTCTCATTTGCCACCTGAAAGTAAAAAAAAACTGACTATGACTCACATGGATACAAGCAAGTTCTTGGAAAGGGCAACACATGCTCTGGTCACTCATGGCAAAGCACAGCAAAGCTCTGGAGGACAGCAACATCTGTGCTTTGCTATGGATTCAAGACAAGTGCCACCACACATTCAAGAGGCAAGGCCACAGACTGCTGTTCCAACCTCCTACTTGAGATCAAAGCCCCTACTATAATACAGACAGTGCACAAAGAAGTAACCCTGAGGACTGCAGTTCTTCATTAGGACATGGATCACAGGAACCATCCAGTTTGCCCACAGTGTCCAGTGTCACCAGTGCTCACCCAGCTCTGAGTGAGGTATTTCAGGCTTGCTTTCCTTTAAAGGAGAATGCCACAGCAAACAAGGCCAGCAGGACAGTGGCAAGGCACTTCCACACTGGACTGAAACACATTTTTTTAACTTATCCATGCCATTCTTAACTAGCATGAGGATTTTTGGTCACCAGTACACTAGTTAGAAGGAAGCCCAGAGACCACGTATTCACCCAGTTTCATGCTGCCCTAAAGGAACAACTACCTGTCTGTGGTCAAGCCTCAACAATTCTTCCACTACAAAACAGCACTGGCAATGCCTGTCTGCAGAGACAAGCTTTCCTAATAGCACACTACTCACCTGCTCCAGATCCACATCATCAGCCAGCTTCATGTTTTTCGTGTGGATCTGCAGGATCTCCAGGCGTCCGGTGGCATCTGGGATACCGATATCCACCTCCCTGTCAAAGCGGCCTGTGGGGCACAGAGCACAGGCTGACCTGCTGAGCCTGCAGCTGCTGCCGCCCCCCTCAGCTGCTCCCGCCTCCCTCGGGCCGAGCAGCAGGACAGCAAGCCACACGTACAGCTCTGGGAAACGCCACAGCTCGGGGTTCTCTCCAGCACCTATCAGCGCAGGATCCAGGAGGAAAGGGTTTGGCCGTTGAGGGAAAGTGAGACTACTCTATTAACTGGAGTCTATGTCATGAAATCTTGGACGATTCCTAGTTTAGTCATTTTATCTCAGCCTCATTTTTAGGAAAATATGCTTCCCTGAACCAACATACCATGAGAAGTTTTGGTTTATTTCTACCTTTGTGTTCCTATCACAAAAGCCCACAAATATTGAGAGATTTTAAATTTCCAGAACTTTTACAGCAGTACACAAGTGGTGAAAAACAAACCGCCACAGTACCTGGAGTGGCAGGAAATCTAGGTTTGACTCCAAAATTAACTAACGTACCTACACCATCCTTGTCCTTCAGCCCTAGCTGTGCATTTAGATGGCTTGCTACACATTTGTCCTTGTTTGGGTTATGACAGAACTAATTCTGTTCTGTTTTCGTTTTCAGCACAGCCTCTTCTATCTAACTGTGCTTTCTGAAGTAAACAGTTTTGCAGAGTGTCTGCTTCTAGCGGTGATAACACTTGATGTTTACAGTTACGACCAAAGACTGCTATGGGCAGAAAGGCCACTGCTGATACTTGCTTCTGTGCAGATCAAGTTCACTGCTAAATCTGGTGTGCCATGTTGGGGGTGCAGTAAAGAAGAGGCTGCACCTGCAGGGCAGAACCAACAGGACGGGAGACCCTAAACTGACCTGCAAGTCAGTTCTAACCCATATCTGTCATATTCAGTATAAAACAGAGATCATAAGGATTAGTCTCTTCTTCAATGGCTGGTGTCTGAGGACTCAATCCAATCTGCTTTTGATCTCAAACCCTGTGCTCCTGAATCCAGTTCTCATCTGCTGCCGAATCCAGTCTGGGACTTCCCCAGTGCCTGCTTCACAGTATCAGTGGTGACAATGATATATAACTGCCATCAGAAGGGTTGGTTTCAATACTGGGTTTGTATATATTTGCATATATTCCATATTATTGTCGTTATTTTCATTAAAGCTGCTTTAGCTTTCCAGTCCATGTATCTCTCTCCTTTATCCCTTTCTTTTCCCACTGGGAAGGGAGAGGGGTTAATAGAGAGCATGTCGTCTGTCTAGTGGCCAGACCAGCAATAACTTCTGGCAACACTGAAAAGGCTGTGCTCCCCTGCACACTTGACTGGTTTGCTACTACAGACTTTACCAACTGTTCACGCACCACACATTCATTCACAATGCAAAGTTTTGACAACCTGGATCTCAGAAACTACCAGACTTCTCAACAATAAAAGAAATTAATTCAGGGACTTCTGCAACCTAAGGCATGAACATCCCCTTTAGTATTTACTCCTTCCGTGTGTCCTCAAATAGATTCACTCAATACAGGGCTGGCACACTTTTCCACTTCAAAGCAGTTTTTTTTCCTTTCTACAAGTTCTGAGAAAAGGATACCAAAGGCTGGAAGCCTAGAACTGACTTTCAAGGAAGCAGCTGGAGACAAGTCAGTGGTTTATGTAAGAGAAGATGCTTTGATTTCTGCTCAGCCCCTACAAGGCCGCTGAAGCACAGCTTGTAACGAAGCACGTGACAAGAGACCGGAGGGGCGGTTACCGAATCGCCGGAGCGCCGGGTCGATGCTGTTAGGTCTGTTGGTAGCTGCCATGACGATCACGTGTGCTCTCTGCTTCAGTCCATCCATGAGAGTCAACAGCTGAGACACGATGCGGCGTTCCACCTCCCCGTGGGTCTGCGGAGAGAAGGCAGGGGTTAGAGCAGCAGCTCCACGCCACCACGCAGGAGCCAGTGCTGCACCACAGGGCACGGATCCGACAGCCGCCAAGGAACGCTGTGAGCTGCGCCTGATTCTCCTCAGGTCCAACTGATACCAAGCATTAAGTTAAACACTGCTTTACCGTGTAGGCAAACTCAGGTTCAGGCCAGCTACTACCCAAAAGGATGTACTTCTTCACCTTCAACAGGCTTTACCTTCTCTCTCTTAGGAGCAATAGCATCCAGTTCATCAATGAAGATGATGGCAGGAGCATTCTTCTCTGCTTCTTCAAAGGCTTTCCTCAGGTTGCTCTCTGATTCACCAGCCAGCTTGCTCATGATCTCAGGACCTGAAAAATAGAAGCACTGTGGTATCCAGAAGAGAGGCACCCAGCCCTAAGATGTGCAGCTGAATTTTTGTAGTACCATGTTCACATGGGACAATCTGTATTTCAAAACAAATACTACCAACAGAGTTCACTAAATTTGCAGCTGAATGGACAAGAACAGCATGCAGAATTACTCTCATTGTGATTTTGGTGCTTTCAGTTTAACAGAAAAAGCTGGTGAGCTACCTTTAGTTGCCTCTTTCCTTTCCCTATTTCACACTTGGTAAGCTTCTCTGTAATGTGCCACCACACACTGTTAATGCCAGTCCTAGCTTTCAAGAGAAGCAATCAAATTACATGGTGATGAATTACCAGGGTAGGGAAGGAAAAAGCTCTAAGATACTGAAGCTGCCTTTAACTCACATTACACAGGTAAACACTGACCTCTGAAAGATCCTATAAATGAGTTCAAAAAACAAAGCCAAGACTCCTCTCCTCTCAAGGAATAAATAAAAACAAAAATGTGTAAGCACATCAATCCCAGAAGGAAGGATGGCATTCCCTGAGATCACAGAACCACACAATGTTAGGAGTTGGAAGTGGCCTCTGGAGATTGAGTCCAACCCTCCTGCTAAACACTCATGCAGGCTCACGGATCAATTCTATCTTTCCTATCATTCTAATGAGAGCAGTAATGAAGAGAAAGTATGCTTCTAAAAGATGCAAGAAAATAGGAACCTGACCCTCCAGAGTGCAAAGCTGCTAGCTGACTGAGTGTGCCAGATGTAGAGCCACTGGTGCAGGCAGGCACCAGGAGAGTTTCATTCCAAGTCACTCGCTGCCTGCTACTCAGGCTTGGGGCTCACAGGCAGAATGCATCACTAACTCTGACAATGTTATTTTTACTATGCCACAGAAGTGTCTAAAGAAACGTCTGGCTGATTAGCTTGCAGTGACAGCTTCCACACACGTTAGGAAGGCCATGAGAAGGGCGGCATATGGTTAAAACCAGCCCATTTGTATCTGACATCTTGAGATATAAAGCAAGTCACTTCCCTAGTGCTGGTCACTGCCATCCTGGGCCATACGTTCCTCTGCTGTCATCTTCATGGGTTCTTGTGATTGAAATCAGAAAAGAAAAGCAGAACTCCTCAAGTAAAAACGTTCAGTTATTCTGGTACTGACCATAAAATGGGATAGGAAAGCAGTGAGGGAAATTCAGAATTAGGTCCTTACTGGACAGAAACCTGTAACCATCTCAACTGCTACAGGTGAGTGCAAGAGGTTTGTCACTTCTTGCTCAGGCCCAAGCTTTCAAAAAAGCTCCTCCCAATTACTGTCATGTGAAACAAAACAGGTCTTGTGCTTTACTTGACAGGAAAGCAGAACAACTTTTTTTCTGAACAGAACATGTCAGCAACAGTAGCCAGTGTCTCACACCCAAATACTTAAGTATATCCAAGCCCTTGTGCTGTGAAGCTGTCCTCCAACCACCCTGCTACATGACCAAGCTCAAGGGCACTGCTACTGCAGACTACTTCCACACTAACAGTCCCCAAGTGACCCCAGAGGCACGCTTGGAGGTAAGGAAGGATGTCAGGGAGACAGGCTCTACAAGCCCTATTCACATCAACATTACCAAAAGGCAGATGAACAGGCACTCAGCAGATCTGGAGCCAAAGCAGCCAGAATATTTACCGTTGATCAGGAAGAAGAAAGCCCCTGTTTCGTTGGCCACCGCTCGGGCAATCAGTGTTTTACCAGTTCCAGGAGGACCATACAGCAGAATCCCACGTGGAGGCTGAGGAAAAAGGCAAGGGACTTCAGTCGTGAGCTAGTAACTGAACAGCAAAGTAGCTTCACAGTGAAAATTAAAAGCATTTGATAAATCCAGTCTGAAATTGTGATGCAAACTCATGCAACAGCTGTCAGCCCAGCACTGCTATCAACACCTTCACTACTTTGCATGACACAAACAAAAACCTTGCCAGTAACTGACAGTGCTGATTCCAAGCATCACTCCGCCTTGCAAGTTGCCAGTACTTTAATCCGTGTCCAGCACACGTCAGGAAGTACTTCCCTGACACCAGCATTATGCAGAAAACCCACACGTACAAATTACACCTCCTGCCAATGCCTCACAAACCTGTGATGTCAGGAGTCACCTGCAAGCACAAGCCCACCCACCCAGCACACGCGGGGACTCACCTTCACCCCGATGGCCTTGAAGAGTGCTGGGTGCCGGAGGGGAAGTTCCACCATCTCCTTGATCTGAGCCAGCTGCTTCCGGCAGCCGCCAATGTCATCGTAGCCCACCTCGTTCAGCGACTCCTCTTCGTCCTGTCCGGAAGGAAAGGTACCAAACACCCGAGTGAAAACAGCAGTTCAGCAACCCCCCCCGGCCATGGATGCCAGGAAGGCAAATATTTGCTCAAAGCCATTTCTTTGCTGTCTTGAGTTTCTCACTTTCAAGTCTTCCTGGTACTTTCTACAATTGCTTCTTAGCTCTGTCTTCCCAGACCTAGACCTCACTGAAGCCCACCCTCTTGAATGACAACCTGTGCCACCAGCTTCCCTGTGGGCTCTTGTGTCAAACAAGCTCTCTGACCCTCTGATGTGGCCAACAGGTAGCAACAGACAGTGAAGCTCAGCATGAAACATACTTGTTAAACTATAAGTGGTATCTCTAACCAGTTGAAACACTCTAGGTATCACAGTTATCAGATATAGTGTTGTCTTTCGGGATCAAGCCAAATTAACAGGGAATGCTAAGAGCCAGACTGGCAGGTAAGATCAACTGTAACCAGCTCTTCAGCATCCATTCACGTGGCTGTCCAGTCCTCTACTGGCCTTAGCTACTTGTAACATAAGGGCACACTAAAATAATAAAATAACACAGCCTGGAATCTCAGAGGGGCTCAGTACAAGCCCTACAAACAGAAACTATGACCTCAGGCAGGTCACTCAAGGTCTGGCCCCACCAAGCACTGAAAGTCCCCAAGTTTGGAGATTCCTGTCCTCTTCTGGGCACTGCTCCAAGGCTGGGGGAAACCTTTTTCCTAGTATCTATTGGGAACTTCCCTTGATCCAGCTTATGCCACTGCCTGTAGTCCTGTCCCTGGGCACAGCTCTCAGAAGAATGTGGTCTCCAACCCCTTCCCCATCAGGCAGTAGCTTCCCTTCTCCAGGCAGCATCACCCCACTCTTCCCAGCCCCTCCTCATTCATTCTGACCTCCAGCTCCTCATCATTTTGGTGGCCACAGCTGAACTTGCTCCTATCTGTTTCTGCCATATCCTGAAGAACTCAACCTGGTTTCATGAGGTTTCACAGTCTCACAAGAGTCACGCAGAGGTGAATTTTTTCAGAAGGCAGCTAACTACAATCCAGCACTCTGATTTGCATGCACTTAATTTACAGAGTATATAACCACCTTAGCTCTCTTCTCCAAGGTTTCCTACTCCATGACAGGAAGGTGGCCAACACCTGACAGACAAGCCACTCAGGCTGCCCCAAGCCTCAGACTCTAGATAGATTAAGGGAATGGGATAATTGTAAATTTTTTTTTAAATCAACCATTCTGGGATTTCAGTTTTTGCACTGAAAAAACATTTGCTGCTTTCTTTTCACGTGGCATGACGCTTAGCAAAATTGAAAGCTCTCCTTGCTATGAATCAAGGAAACTTTGAAATGAAAAGATGCATCTAGGTCCAGGACGAGATATCTGGAAGCAGCTGCAAAACCAGCTGCTGTCACAGTATAGCATCTGTCAGAAACCATAGTTCTGCTTTCTTTTCTGTATGTCTTTTGAAGTCAGCAAGAATAAGCGAGAAGCACCCCCATAACTTGGGGGGGGGAGGAGGTGGAAGGGGTTGGATATAAGAATCTGGAAGACTAGAAGCTCAAAACTTTAAACGTGTGTCTCACCACCAAACACTATATAAATTGCCTGCTCTCTCTCCCCGGTTTGCT